CTATACATAGAAATAAAACTTTTTATATATGATCAAAGTGAAGATTAAATGTGTAGGAAAAGCGGTTTTTCCTCTTCTGCCGACTCTTGAAGCAATTTAGTGTCAATAAATCTTAATACAGACAGCGTTGGCGACAAAAAATATAATTTATTTGGGGTTTCTTTCATTTACATCTGCTCTGTCTCTCATTTCTTACAAATCGCTCATCGGAACTTTGAAACAACTCAGTTGACACGATGATAGCGGTGACATGTTGACACTTCGGTGTTGAAAGACCCCTACCCTCTTCCCCCTCCCCTTTCCACTCCCCTACCCCCGCTCACTTACCCCACATTCACCCGTATCCCACCCACACCACACATGTCACGCGTGCGTATATGATATCCAATGACGATTGATTTATTCCATACTCGTGATCTTTATGGCTGAATTGTTACTGAATGGAATCGTGATATAAAGCCATTCGTCTACTATGACTCATCATTGCTGACTGATAATTGTGGTAATAGTTATGATGGTTCAAAGTCTTAAGAAATCATGTGATAAAATTAGTGACGAGAAGTCTATACATAGAAATAAAACTCTTTATATATGATTCTCTTTCAAAGTGAAGATCAAATGTGTAGGAAAAGCGGTTTCCCTTCTGCCGACTCGTGAAAGAAAGCTAGTTTTAGCTGTTTAACGGCACATGAAGCAGCTAGATCGCTTTACTGCTGTCAGATATTTTACTTCTAAAGTTAAACATCGTTCCTACTCCTAGGAGAGATGTTTGTTTGTGACTTGATCGTCAAATATATACGGTCATATTCGCAGTCGAAGGTAAGAGTTATTTTTTACTGTGATTAATTTTATACGAATCGAATAGTTGTACGGTCTTACTGTAAACCAACACTGTCCCGTAATCACATCTCCTAAAACTCATCTGGATGATTGTTTTTTTTTTCTTTTCTTGTTCTATAATGTGTTTTATATTCACGTTTCAGAGTTGGAGAACTGACAACCAAAACTCTCTCGTGTTATTGCATTATTGAAATGGTTACCGAACTTTGCTAGAAGCCAGACATCCCGAAAAAGATTCAGTGAGTGATCGTCGTTTATTTGTTTAGCCCGGAATGTAGTTCGTAAACTCTACAGTAGTCGGACTAACTTTGAACTTTTACTTTGGCAGAAAGAAGTCCTCGAAACCAGTGAATGTTATGATAAGGGAAACAAAAATGGGCCTAACAATAAAAAAGGTGAGAATTGAAATTACCATATGTATGGAATCTTTAATTGGCTATTTCTAAATACCACTGTGATGTATTTTGTCCCGTCGAACCCCCATTTTGCACCTCACTAAAAAAACTAATACGAGTTTCAATGGCCGTCAAAATCCTTACCCCCAGATCTGCCTCGCCCTACTTAAAGACTCCATTTAATACATTATATTTAAAATCATTTTATTTTTTTACAAAGCCTAGTACTAAAAATCTGAATCATGCCTTAGAAATATTTCCGTCTCATATTGTGCAATCCTTTTTAACCATGTTAATTTGAAATAAATCAATGTGGGGAATAATGAAAGTTCGTATGGCATACGAATCCCCCTAAATTGCAAATTCCATCATTTTAATAATTAGTGACATTTTTCATTTCATTTTTATCTGTAGGCCTTTATTGACGAGTTGTACTTTTGTTTGTGTTGTCAGTTCAATATTTGTTCCATACTGTTCTACATTATTTAATCCGATAAAAAGGAACAAGTATTAGCGTTTAACAAACAAACACACAAACAAACAAACAAATACGAATTCCATACCACGATTACATACGAAACATTATACGGGAAGTATCCCTTTCAGCATATCCACACATGAGAAACTTAGGAAATATTTCACCCAGGCACGCCTGGGGCTTTAAACAACATGTTTACCTTTAACACAGGAAAACGCTCAATCTTCTCCCTACTTGTCATTTATCATTGACTTATAAAGTTTTAATTGTAGGACAAAGTTCAAGTAGTTTGTATAAAATATCATATAATCCTATTTTATAAAGAATGATGAGATATGAGCTCGCCCATACTACCTTTGACTTATGTTATGTAGTATGAAGGAGAGAGAGAGAGAGAGAGAGAGAGAGGGAGAGGGGGGGGGGGGACTAGTGGTGTCATTTCGTCATAAGGTGTCGCGTATTCACGTCTTGTTCAATTTCTTTGATTCAAACTTTCACTAAACATGTTTCTCTGACTTTTCAGCCTTTAAACAGCTCAATTTGTTTTGAAAGTCTTCTCTTTGATAAATGTAAAGCAATCTGTTACTTGATTAAATGACAAAGATGATTACAGATTAAATGATATGGATAAGGCAGAAAACTGCCGCATTACACCAATATTTAAAGGAGGAAACATGACAGACCCATCAAATATTTAACCATTATCTGTCCTTCAGGTTTGATTACAGATCATGACAAGTTTGTGTTTAAACGAATGAATAATTACATTTCAAGTAACTATATTTTGAGTAATGCTCAGTTAGGCTTTCGGCCAAATTTTGGTCTTATAACTATCACTGAAAATATCCGCAATAGTCTAGATTAAGGTCATGCTGTTGGAGTTGGAAAACAATGGATTTAAAAAAAAGGGTTTCTATTTGGTACCACATACAATTTTACTTAAGAAATTAAATGTTATGGATTCGATGATGATAGCTTGGCTTAGTTTGAAAACTATCTGCAATTTAGAAAGCAATTAAAATTAATCGACGGTGAAAGGTCAACCCATTTCTCCTTTTTAACATGATAGGTTTTTATTTCAATATCGTTGTTCCTTTTGTTTTATTCATATGACACTTTTTTATATCATAGATGTTTATGTTTGTAATTCCTTTGTGTGTATCTATATTTAATTTGATATCTATAATGATCTGTCTGTCACACGGATTTGGTGTTAAGCAGTCTTTTTAGGCAGAGGTGACTTTTACCGTGATTAAATAGATTCAATTCAATTCGCTTAAAGGCACTCCAAATTTGAAGTGAGTGCTTAAATCATATGTAGCCCATTTGACAGAAGTTGATCCCCCATTGTGGTCCTGGGAGTGAAAAGTATCAACTATCAAGATAATATAAGTTGAAAATCATAACAAAATGTGAAATGACGGAGTACGGTAATATCTACAAGTTATATACACATAATATTGTGAACCGGTGTTATGACCATTTAAAAAAGAAGTGAACAGAAACTTTTTTTGTGAAATATTAAACTTGGTAATAAAAAACACCCGTGTAAAACAAAAAGATTCAGGCGAACAATTTAAAATAATTGATCCGTGGCAATGATAGATACTTGTTGATATCTTGCAAGGTGACATCTGAGTAAGTCAAATGTGGATTCTGTTCTGTTTAACCTCGTATTTTATCTCCTAACAAAGTGTCGTCCGAGGACAAAGAGTAATAATGATATATATTCAGTAGGCATTTCGATATTACAAGATCATGCCAAATAACATATTTTTCTTGTATTCTTATTGCAAAGTCCACATTACTGATGACAGAGATTAGAACGATAATCGATAGACTATGAATAAATCTACGAGGAGATAATCATTGAAAATGTATTTTTAAAGGTTCACTGAGAGGTAACATTTTGAATGCGTAAAACGATGTCATTTGAGCGACCAAGTGTATAAATGTTACATTTGAGGAGTCGAGATGGCTCAGGGGTAGGGCAGCGGTATCGTAACTGGCAGAACTCGGGCCCGGAACCAAGTAGATTCGATAGTGCCCTTTGGTTAGGCATTATATCTAATCCTCGTTACCACGTCCAACCAAGAGGACTTATAGCATTCGGTCCCTGAAAGCTCACTTAAAACTATGCTTTCTTAGCAGTTGGGTGGGAGAAATATTCCATGAAATCAAACCCAAATATGTTGGTAGGTCTCTTTTATTTGAAGCGTTGTGATGCGTTTAGGTTATCCAAAAGGGGGAAAGAAAGAAACCCGAAAAAAGAAACGGTTATTGCCAACAGACTATTAGCCATATGAACAATCGGTATATATGTGCTTAATAGAGCAAAGAAACGTTCATTTAGAAATGGCACGTCAAATTTCTTCATTTATTTCAAACATTTGTTTTGGCCCGTCATATTTTCTAGCAGTTGCAGTCTTTCTTCTACAACGATTTTATCAAGTTTGATGAAATATAATATTTTGACAATTAGTATTTTATTCTTAAATAAAACAATAATTGTAATATGTATATCTGCTTATTTATGGTTCATATTCAGAAAATATATTTCGTACTTTATGTTTGTTATGTTACCGAAAATGGTTTATATTTATATGGAAAGCAGAAGAAAATCAATCAAATCAAAATTAAAATTGCCTGATTTCGTTAAAACCGTGAAAACGTTAGTATCACATGAGAATATGACATGAGGGATATAATGAACTTCGGTGTTTTCTTGCATGGATCCACAGTCCAATTCTGCTGGTAGTACGGCACAATCAACAGTACATGGTATACATGCCCTATTCCGAAACCTTGGATCCATTATTGTTTCTTTTCTTGAAATTCCCACCGTTTCGCCACGCTTTTTTCTTCAAATAATCACATTCTTAACATGTTTCATCTTTCTCTTGTCTTTTACTTTTTTAGGGCGGATCATGGACCATGGCATATTAAAGCCTTTAGGGAGGGGGAACTGAACAAGCGAATTCTTAAATGGGCTGCCTGTACTACCAAAGATATAATTCAACAAACTAATAACATTTTATCATTCATGTTTTTTGTATATATATGTTCGATAATATAATTGATATACAAAAAGTAGTTGCTACCATTCTATCAATATTTATGACTAGCGAATTTCAATCTTTAACTCACATAATAGATGAAAAATAAATATGGCGACACTTGAACACACGGTTTCACGCGGCTTGCAGTGCCCTGTTTGTCTGAATCTACTAAGTGATCCTAAACAGTTGTCATGTACGCACACATACTGTCAGAAATGTCTTAGAGACATGTTATCGTGCTCATCGCAGAGAAATGCAAACACATTAGCATGTCCCATCTGTAGAAAAACGACATGTGTAACGGGTGGCAAAGTAGCAAATCTCAAAACCAATGTTCTCGTTAAGTCTCTCGTTGATGACATCAGGAACAGTAAACAGCTCTGTGAAATGTGTGACGCGCAATCAAGAGCTGTACGTTTCTGCTGCGATTGTAGTAAGAATGTGTGTAACGCATGTCTGCAAAAGCACAACAACTGGTCACCTAATCTCAAACATAGGGTGGTGAGCGTCGAAGACATCAGAGAGGGCAAGGTGGTCCTAAAGAAGAAGGTCTACTGTCAAGAAGAAGTACACGAATCAGATGACGAAAAATATGCCTGTACCGATGTATGCGCCACTTGTAAAAAGTTCATCTGTATGAGATGTATATTCTACCACGATAAGAAAGGCCACACAGTTCAAGATGCGGGGGAGTACAATATTTCCTTCAAAAAGGACAGTGAATCCCTACAAGCCCGGGGTAAGACAAAAACTACAACTGTCAAGAATCACATGACATGTGTTGATAATCAGCTGAAGCGTGTCACTGATCACATCGATGGAGAAAAAGCTAGAATCAACAAGACATGCGAAGAAGCTATCAACAAAATAAAAGAGAGAAATGCGATCTTGAATAAGCAATTAGATACTGAGAAAGAGAAATTATGCCAAAGTTTAAAGAAGATGAAAGTTGCCGATGAGAGGTTGGTAACGAGTATTGAGAGTGCGAGTGAATTAGCGAGTAATAGTTTGAAAGCCCCACTAGAAGGGGACGTTGTAGCTATTCGTGATTCACTGTCTGGTGACCTGAAGAATGTACTGGATCAAGATGATCCCCAGAAGAAGCTTGCTAATGATGTAGCTGACCGTGCAGAGGAACTGACGTTTACACCAATTAGCCATCAAGATCAATTATCCATGGGTAAACTCCGGTTCATAAAATGCGAGTCGAAATGTAATGTCGCACTCCCCCAAAAATACAATATGAATGCGATGGCTGCTACCAAAAATAGTAGGATGGCAGTTGGATACAGCGCAGGTGGAATCGATATCTTCTCTGCTGATGGTCAGCTGCAGAAGACAGTCCTCAAAGACATCTCTATATTAAAGTTAGGTTTCCTCTCTGATGGTCGTCGTGTTGTACGAAATACAAGTAATGACATATCCTTGTACACATCAGAGTATGAGAAGCTGGATGTTACATTCAACACTCTAGATAAGAGTGAAGGTGGACGTGGTGGTCTCACGGTAGACAGTAATGATCTGATCTATCTCGGATACAGGATAGCCAGGAAGATCCAGGTATTCTCATCAGCAGGCGGGAAGGCGATCAGGGAGATCCCTTGCGATGGATATGAACCTATACAAATCACTAGTTATGGTGATTCATTGATCGTTAAACATTATGACAATGTGATAATACGTATCGATAGAAAGGGCAATACAATGCATAAAGTAGTCAGTTCGAGTGGTCATAACCTCAGCGCTAGTGTGACTAAAGGTAATTCAATCATGATTGCCTCTTTTAGGCACGCAGAAGGGCTGCTCAATATCGATGAGTACACCAATGACCTGAAGCACGTCAAGACTCTCATCGTCGATCACAAGATTCAGAAGCCTGAGAGAGACTGGTACTACCTTAAGGAGTTCCAGTCAGGAGAGTTAGGCTTCTGTACACCAGATAGGCTCTACATATTCAAACTATCAACCACCCCAGTTAACCCGTGATTATTATGTTTAGTAGAGTTTCAAACGGGATTCCACTGGAGATATTGTAATAAATTGAGATGTTATTTTCGTCTTATCATGATGTAACGTACCGAACGAAGTGATGGGAATATCGCATACATATTTAAGTTTAATTATGAAGCAATCTTTACTCTTGAAGGTGGGGTTCATATATTTAACAAGGTAGATGTAATGCGATAACATGAGGCCATCGATTCGAGCAGATTATGGGAGTGGTGTTATCATCTTTTTTAAAATCATAATCCCTTTCCTTCTCTCCCTTTCGTTCTCCTTTAACTGCAAGTTTCTCCTTCTTCCCGATTGAGACCTCACCCATAGCTATATGCCACTGGTTCTATTTTGTTATGTAGCTTTAGATCTTATTTGGTTTGCTCCCTATGCTATCCTGACTCCTTTCCGGACCATACGCACCCATGGATATCCAATTCAGTATTTTACCTTTCTACTATACACGATTGTAATAGCAAACAAATTATCAAATTAATTCTGATCGACTTGATGACCGGATTTACAAAATTAATTTGGATAACTTATACTAAATTCAAAGTACCATCATTTGGTTCTAACTCTAATTAATATAACGTTGTTCAATTCCTTAACAAGTTTACCAATCTAAAGTATGTTATTGTTGTGTTATCAGTGTGGAAGAAATGGGATTGCATTGATCTGAATTCTTTGTAGTACCGAAACATTGTAAAGTCAAAATGAAGGACAGCCAATCGAAAATTCACATTAAATTATTGCATTGAATTCGCAAACAATTCTTTATTTTCTGAAGAATAACTTTACAAATATTTAGCAGATACAAATCAACAAATCATGCATGTTCATCCTGGTATTTTTCAATTTCGAATTGATCTCTGTCTTCATAACTTTGCCGTAGACCAATTTTCATATTTTGTCATGGTTCTACAAGGAATCTAGAATGAATTTCTATAAGTACTTAACGTGTATAGCTATCATGACTGCTTGCTACTTGAAGATTGCTGGCAGAACCTCAACTTTGTAGCTAACTTTGGTTGTGTTAGTCAACTTGCTCTTTAATATGTTCAATACTATTTAAAAATGGACAATCTTTCAAAGAAAAACCTCTTGGGGGGGGGGGGGATAACAACTTTATATTATACTTCATACTACATCATTTGTGTACGCATAATACTAAATAATGCGACGGTACCTGCATATCAGTGTATGTTTTATTGTAAGTATGATATTAATTACATGTACGTGTCTATGTAGGACATGCATGTAATCATATTGGTATTATGTTCTAGTCCATGTATCGAAGTGTGGAAATACAAATGTGTATAAGCCTTCATGTTATTTTTTATTCCCATTGCTGGGGAAATAATTGGAAAAAGAGGAAAAGGATCATGAAATACGTTGTTTTGAAATAATTCGAGATATCATTTAAGTAATAACTACTTGACTATAAATGTTGATGTCGCTTTACATACAACAACAAAAAGAACATGTACAGTGCGTATTTATGCTTATTATATCTCCATGATGAATAAAATTGTAGTTTATTTGAACTTGATGCCTAATAGACAATATCTTATCATAATAAATACAGTATTTGTTTAACCATCAATCTCAAAGTTACACTGATAATTTACTACATGCAATAACAACAAACTGCTGACAATGCAGACCTACACCAGGTAGATTAGAAAAAACACTTATGGAGTTAAACAAATGGTTATGACAGGGTTTTAAGCTAGATATAAACATTGAAATCAACTTGTCGTGCTGCATGTTATCAATCACTTGTACCATTTATATTTCTACAGATAGACAAATCTCATAACATTCGCAAATCCCAATGGTTATGACAGTGGTGGTGATGGTGGTGGTGCTGGTGGTGGTAGTTATTTTACCTGACTGCTAAGAAAGCATAAATGCTTGTTAGTAAGAAACCAGACAGCCGACGGCTTTAGGTCCTCTCTGAGGAACCTGGCAATGAGGATTAATTACTAAAGGGCACTGGCGCATCGACTTGGTTTCGAACCCGGGTCACGAGACTACTGCTCTACCGACTGAGCTATCGCACCTCATCTTTTTTTAAGCTAAATAAAATAGAAATAAACTTGTCGTGCTACATGATATCAATTACTTCTACCGTGCATGCAGATACAAAAGTTTCATAACATTCACAAATCCAATACAGCAAGATATCTAACTGAAGTATATCTATACATATTTTTACAGTTTGATTTGTTTATGTGTAGCCTTTGATTCGATATCACTGTTTGGTTTGTTACGTTTTATTTTGTAATTTGTTTATCTGCAATTGTATTGTTTTATTATTGTAAAGAGCATTAATATTGTCTCCGAAGATGACATACGCCAAGGAAGCATAGGTTATTATTAATTATATTATTCTAACTTCAATCTTTATTAATATATTCTTCATACTGCTATGTGATAACTCTACTCAATATAGGTAAGTCTTATAAGAGGTCATAATCCTTCCTGCTGGCACCTGTTTATGCAGTATTATGTTATTGAAATTATTTTGGACTTGTAAACCTAATATTGGGCTTCATCCCTGCGGCGAAATAAACACATTTTGGCAGCAGTCAATATTACTTCTTGACCATCAAGATCACTGATCATTATAAAATAATTATATTCATCGTTCAATCATATCTTTTGATTGTCAAAAACTGAACAAGTTGTTCAGAAACCAGAACATGTAAAAGCATGCGTGCTTAACTCTCTTCATCTTTTTCACTCTCTTGATTTTAGGATTGAATTTATGCCAATATCATTTTTTGTTCTTCATGGGAAAGCGGTAAACGTGCCGATGACCAAAATAACTCAGAAGCGGGATGCAAAATAGAATTTCGTAGAGCTGTAAGTAGCAGTACGAGCTGACATATTACTATGCTAGTGAATATAGCAACCTGGCAGCCTAAAAAAAAAAAAAAAATTGAATTATGAATTTGGAGTTCAATTAGAAATAGCAAGCTTCTTCTATATGAGCATTATTTTGTTTTTGATATTGCTGGAAGTGTATACTCTTCTGTTTGTTGTAAGATTACGATTGTAAATAATTATTTAAGATGCAATGATATGTTCTTTTCAATGCTTTTTGTCGTGTTTGTAAGTCACTATACTAAGATATTTAATTACAATAATCGGTACATTATCAGACTGTACATGTAATTATTTGACTGATAATAGGTAAATGGAAGATAAAAGAGCAATGTTATATGTCAATGCTGCTGGTGTTGCTGCTGCTGCTGCTGCTGATTATGGTGATGGTGATGGTGTAATGATGGGGATACGATGATAATAATGATCAATGATGATGTTGATAATGATTGATACTTACCCCTGGACATCCACACTAGGATAACTACCCCCAGTCAACTACCCCTTAGGACAACTACCCCTAGGGAAACCACCCTCTAGGACGCCCAACCCCAGGACAACTAGATTTTAAAAAAATGCACTCTGACTGATATACTGTCTTCATATTGAGATGCATTCCATGAATCTGGAATTGACTTTATATTGATGTGTATACATCTGTATATCTAGCAGAGAATTACACATTGCAATGCTGAGAAGCCCTCAAAATATCATGGCATTTCTAATGCATACAAGCAAATATATACATGATATTAATTTGCTACTTGAGTTAGGCGGTAAAGAGTTGGGAATAGGAGGTAAAATATTTCAAGAAAAAACATTAAAAAGAAAAACACACCAAGGACACACATATCAATAGCGCTATACAGATCTAATTACCCAATGAAATATAAAATATTTGATTGTCAAAACTAATACTATTCCATGTATTGAGGTCATAGTGAAAAGAAAAGCTTAATAATAAGACCTCGAATCAAACACTCAAACACATAAAAGTGTTACCGTAGAAACAACTAGTATACATATACATTGCGTCCCAGAAAAACGAAACCGAGAATTGTAGATGTTTTATCATAACTTAGTCACATTTATAATCAATAAATGACACATATTTGGAAAGCTTAGATCCTCCTCTTTCATTTGATGCAACTCATGATAACAAAAGACTTAACTCCGTTTCGTTGACAATCAGCCGTAGACTGATGGCATGGCTGCTTGTCAACGTAACGGAGTTAAGTCTTTTGTCGATTCTGCTTGTTGCTACAGCAGGAAGCCAGTGGAAACGCATTCGTTTGATAAAATTATGGAAATGCAAGCACTACTTTAAACAAACAGAACTTTGTTATTCCTATCTCATATTTCCTGACTGAGGTGTCATATGAAAGGGCAGAAACTCAGCTTTTTAGAAAAGTGATTTTTCCTTTGAAATTCAGATACCTTTCGCCAAATTACTTTTTGGTTTCCTCTCTTCAAATTCTCTTTACTCACTCATGCGTGAAAACCCCCCAGAAAAAGCACTAAATTTTTAATAATTAATTGCATTTTACCCCGGTCCTCAACATAAAAAAATCCTCTGTGTGCCCATACCTTGAGCCATAATGCAAGGGCACACAGAGGATTTTTTTATGTTGGGGACCGGGGTAAAATGCAATAAATTATTGAAAATTTATTGCATTTTCTTTGTTTTTTTTATTTATGGAAACTGCCCCCTACCCTAGCCCCCGCTGCGTACAGTCATGGTTAAGTGACAAACCAATGGCCTCGTAACTGTGAGGCCCCATGATCAAAACCGTGTCGATGTGCTATATTAGTGCTCTTTTGTGGGGCATTCATCTTCATTACTGCCATTTATGACTTAAGAGCGTAGGTCCCCCAGTATATAAGCATAATAGCATTCACATGCTTTAGCAGTCACGCAAAACACACATTGGTAAATTATTATTCAATAAAATCTGAGAATGTATACTATTATCTAGATCTATTATTTTTAAATTATTTTTGAAATAATTCCATAAATTGGGGTAAAACAAAAACATTCCAACTTTATGAGCGACAGTGTATATTAATGTCTTTCGAGAGGACATCGTTGCTTTGTAGGAGCTCGTACCTATGCTCAATCAAGTGTTCAAGGTACTTGTTTAGGGCATCTGCTTAGGTTGAGTAATTAGAGACTCCGGATTGGTTTTGCGTTGGACCAACTGGAGCTGGGGCGACTCGAATCATTCTCATACTGGGCTTAGCTGCACTTCCCTGACAAAACGAAATGGTAGATAACAGAAGGAAATTTAAAAAAAAGATACCCCAAAAGGAAAAAAAAGAAAGGGGTAGAAAGATAACCATAAAGATATGATTGCAATCAAAATAAGACTGCATATTAGTCGATCCTACATAATATTATAATAATAATTTTATAATAGACCACGACACCTCCACAAACAAATATTTGTTTGTGAATATGACAACTCTTAATTTTAATACAGCTAACATGTTTTGATATGCACCACACATTCGTTTTTTTTTGTTGTTGTTGGGGGGGGGGGGCACGTTACACGCCGACTGTGATGTTTGGTGTGAAAGGTAGCATTTCGAGGCTCATGAATAAGATCAATTAAACTACGCAGACATATGCTATTTTTGCACTAGAAGAAAAAAGAGTCATACCGATTGCATAATTAGATAAAGAGTAAAATTAAACTCCATTTACTTCAGTTATTGAAACTGTACTGGAATTGGTGTCCGAAGTCCTGCTTTCACGAGCTTTGCGATTACGCTCTCTGATGACGTTTCGAACCTGTGGTAATACGAAGAAAAACAAATCACAATTATTGAGACTTTCTGTTTGATTTCATGTAATTGGCTTAATCGAAATCGCCAGATAGTGTGCGCTGTCTATTTTGCCTGTTTCGAGGAGTTGCACAGATCTACTGTGAACTATCGGACGCTTGCAGTTTTAACGAACTTCTTTGTCTAAACTGGCGGGTTGGGGGATCAATATTCGGATTTACCAAAAAATTATATAGCCTACTTTTAATTCGAAATAAAAAATCGGTGTCGACAATAATTTGCCTTACACTTAACACGAAGTAAAAGCAGCATATTGTGGGACGTAAAATTTGCATTCGCATTTTTGCTTGTTGCAGCATAGCTATATTTTGTCTCTGATTACGCCCCTTTTTACTTCTTTACAGAGCAAATTCCCCGAAATGAAATTGTTTTGAGTGTCTGACGCCAGCTTTGATTTTATTACATACCTCCGAATTGAGAAAGCAGTAGAGCCATGCGACGAAGAACCCCTGCAAGGAAACAACAAAAATAATCTACGTTAGTACGATACATGCACAGCACTAAGTTAGATATGAACGTCTCATAGTAAAACAAAAGAAATAATATTGTAGGCATTTCGCCCGTGCGTGAACTTATCAATATGATATTCATCCTTATTGTGAAAAATTATATTTGTTCACTTTGACAGAGCTGAACATTCTCTTTAAAGAAAATGAAAGGTTATCTTTGTTTCATCGGCCCGGCCCTCTCTCTCTTTCTTTTTGTAACAGGTCAAAATTGTACTGTTTTATGGTGAAAAGACCAATCCAATATATGGTTATGGAATGGTTGTACTCGTCTTCACCCCCCCCCCCCTCCCCTCAGCAATAGTATATGATATCACTTATATTAGAAGATACCTGAAGAGAATTGAGCAGGTTGAAGGTGTATTCTAACGCCTTGACTTGGGGAAAAACTGCCAGGTGTCAATAACCAAGCGATACCAAGCAGGGGGAAGAGCAACAAAGTGCTCCGAAGTCCAGCTCTGGAAAATAGTTACAAAGAGAATTTACACAGTGATGTTACATACACATCAAAACACACCAACAACCATTGGAACACCACGCAACGTCCAAATGGATACACAAATTTAACAAAATACCCACACACAAACCTATCCAAATCCACACTTACACACATAACCAAAACCACACACACCCTTCGAACCCCCACATACACATACACACGCACACATCCACATACAAACTCACACACATTCCTAAACTATTGATGAGACAATAACCAATTAATACCAAGCAATACGATGAGAATTTGAGAGCTCCGAAGATCAGCTCTGAAGAAGAAGAAATGATTTAACGAACTTAACATGAAGAAGGGATTTGGAAATGAATATAGTGGCCTATTAAAGCCTCCGTTCAGAATAATATGTATGAGTGAGTATACATTATTTAGATAATTTACTCTGGAAAATACCTTCTAAAAATTTACGTAAGACAAAAGGTAAGGCAAGAAAGTTGTGTAAATTAAATAATTTCTTAAAGAATAATTAGTATATTACTTGATTTGCTTAATCTTATCGTTGTTAAGTTGACCTCGAGATGCAGACACAACTGTCTTTACAACCAGTAGGAGAATAACTACGTTGACCTAGAAGTGGAAATAAATGTATACATTTTGTAATTTTCCTGCTAGTGATGAATTTCTAATCAATATATGTATTATCGCAGACACAAGGAAAGCTTCTAACGTTGAAATACAGTATTAAGGAATCGTTCAATTGTTAATTTGTTTTTCTTTTTGCAGGCGATCATGCTTGGAATAAAATTGCATAAAGATATCGTAATGCGACGATGTAAAAACGTAGACCTAAAAATTAAATCATGCATAAAATATGATACTTTACGAGATTTAAATTTCGAGTAAAAACATGTATTTTTCCAAACTAGAGGGCCATTGTCCGCAATTACATCACAGTGAAATGACCACTTTAGTCATTTTAAAGTGCCCATACATATAACGATGGCAACTTTCAAATTATCATAACTTTCTTCTGTTTTGGTCTGATTTTAATAGTTCAAACTTCCCCAGTCTGAATGTCTGATTTGTTTCCCTTTTTGTTTACTAATAATAACTGTCCGTTGAGGTTAAAACTTTTCTTTAAAATATTTATTGAAGAACGTGGTGTCAGACTCTGATTTACATATTCACACAATCCTCAAAGAACAAGAAATGTGCAGAACACTATTTTAATCTTCTCATATTAGTACATGTATATTCGTGGAAATTACCCAGCTCATCCGTATAACGGTAATCATACTAATATCCAGGCTTCCCAAGCTTCCGTACTATAGAAACACAAATGACAATAGTAACGAACCCACATACTAATACGCCCCCCCCCCCCAAAAAAAAAAAAAAAAAAAAAAAAATCATATTGCAAACTATAACAAGCTTCTTACGAGTACGATTGCTATAGCCGGGCCGGTGAATGCCCAGATTGTCCCATCTCTTGGATTCAGCCAGCAACTGTGTTTTAAATTAGAATATAAAGATAAAACGTTTAAGTAAATTATGCAAAAAGTTTAATTTGTAAGCATTCGTTTTGGGTACCTTTGTAAATATTTGACAATTAAGCCATGCTATCACAATGCACCTGATTTCCGTGAAATATCATATATATTGATAATAGTAGTTTTTTGAATAAAATGATGCTCACCTTTGTTCATAGCCATAGCTTTGATGCTTCACGGCTCCAGTTATGATGAGTATCACGGCTGGACCACCTGCGAAAGAAGGAATTAGTATGGTATATTGCAAAAGGCCGATGTGATATTTTGATTATATAGCCTAAATCAAAGCCAAACTACATATATATTACTTTAACAATCCAATTACTTTAACGATGTCATCATTAGCTTAAGTTTGAGCGATAGTAAGTATTAATTCGCCTCTAGCAGCGTTGTCTAGTAAAACCGCCTTACATTTGGACTTACCCTACCGTAATATGTCATAAACCAGATTCAAATATAATAACTTCTTGATATAACGATAGAGATGTACTCCCTCTGGTCAATGAACATTAATGTTTTCAAATATTAGCAGTGTCCATTAATTAATCTTGTATTTAAGCTTACCGCTGTCATTTATGCTGACAAAAGTCAAAATTTGAGGATCAATTACCAGAGTCAAAATCCTGAATGATCTTACGATTGAGTTGCACGCCCTCAACGTTCAATGTAAATCGATGATTTAGCCTATTTAATGTTGTCATGAAAAATGATTATGGACTTCATGTTTGTTTCGAGACTGAAATATGGCGCTCCATGATGCTTTGAGTGGTTTTCACCAACTTACCCCATCCTAAGATTCCATAAACCCAAGTTCGAGGGTTACCAGAGTCAAAAACTTGGATGATCTGACGATAGAGGTGTACACCCTCAACGAGCATCCAAAACATCATTGCTAGTGAGAAGTAGTGCAGGATGAAGGCATATGCCTTGCATGCAGACTAAACAAGAGGTTCACATACAAGATAAGATATAATGCTGGGGAATCGTAATGTAATACATACGAAGAAAAAAAAATTCCCATTCTTTAAATCATTTAAATAAACTAGAAAATGACTTCAAGAAAAGTCATAAGGGTTGTAAAAAAAAAACATGTCTATGACGCACATTTTTAAATGAATGAAAATGTAACAAAAAACAGGAAGAATTCGTTTGCGTCGCGTTTTCGTTGTTCTTCCTGAATGCCTTCCTTTGATGGAATTAACTGCAAAGTTTGCAAAAAGCGGTCTCTACTGGGAATAAAACAAAGGTTTTGGGTTGGGTACGACAAATCCTTTAACAGCTAGACCAAGAAAACAGGTTGAATAGTTTTTCCTGCCACATCAGATACAACCATGTTGAAAAACTCAGCATATAATTATATCCACACAAAAAAAGAAACTGTACACTATTTGTAGTTAAGATTTTCAAATAAATATTTAATATAACTTACCTTTCATATACCTAACTGAACATAAATTAATCCCAGTTAAGATGATATGCAATTGAAATCATACCTTTAATGCTTGATTAAGCATATACATTTAACAATGAATGCATACATTGTGTGCGGGCAAGCCTGAATCCGACAAACGTGGTGATGGAATTATCTGTAAAGCGCTTTAACAGAGACATAATGTATTAAGCGCTTTATAAAAGCGGAATATTATTATTATCTTGGGTGGGAGGAAAGGCATCTTGACCGTGCTTGTAAAAATTATGCAGTCCTGAGACTACGTCTGACATCAAGAGCTCAATCCTCCTCATCGTTTCTCCTTTTTTTTTCTTTTTTTAAGGTTGAGCAAGACTGTTTTACATATACACATGTTCATTATTTTGAATGGCTACTTGCTCGATTTGTTGTTGTCGAATTTTTCTTAATCAGACCTTCTAACCGTTTAATAAACAGGCCCATCCAAGCGTGACAAATTCGAAACCCGATCCTAATTAATGTTGGTAGAGTATTACTCTTTCTTTGATTTTAAATATATTTTAATATATTTGTTATTGATGGTTTTGATGAAACAATTTTTAAGTTGAAAGAGTGTCCATTTTTTAATTGTTAAAAATATTAATCTTGAGGATAAATACTTCTGATAGCACACGGCTTGACTAAGGAGAACAAGGGGAATGGATAGCCAGTCGGAAACCACTGAAAACAAAATAATCAAGATTACCTCAATTTCAATAGGATTGATGCCGGCCAAGAAGGTGATATCGAAAAACAAAATGGCGACCATAAGGTTGGCGTGAATTATAACACGGTCAGCTGTTAACGATCGTCTATATATAAAGTGAAAATTGAAACCTTAGGTTTACAAAGAGTTTATTTCCAAGTTAACGAAATATATGTTCATTTATTTGTTTCCAAGGCATGTATATCCATGGTACAAAGGAAACAAATATATAATTTAAATCACCTGTTTTCAGTTATAGATGTTAAATGTAAATGTGTTCCTTGGACCTACTGTGGTATAGGGTTACAAAACAACTCTGTATAATTTCAGCTTTTGGTAAAATAGATTACTCTGAGAAATATTTATGAACCTATCATGGCGTGCATCCTAAATTCTGATTTGTTTTTATTTTATACGCACAGTGCACGCATTGAGTGCAAAATAAAAACTTTCTAGTATTTTGAAATCCAAGGTAAGTGCCCAATCATTTCAATACACGTAATCATTTTCATTTTAAAAGAATACAAATATCACACTAACAAAGACAATGATGTTATAATGATTAAAAGATTGTTTATTGTGTTTATACTTTTTGTTGCTTTTTCGGGGAAAATGGTACGTACATTTTGTGTCAAAAGTAGATTTTAATGAAAATAATGCATTTTCAACTTTGAATTGAATTACATTAAAAGAGGATGCATACATTAGAGCAACGTCGATATGGCGCTGCTCAGTGACTGCCGGGCTCACGATCAATTGGGCAAAAAGAATTTCCGTTTCGGTTTACTTCATACAATTTGGAGTGGACTTAAAAGATTATTATTATTATTATTATTATTATCCAAATCGCCAAAATTATACTGGTTTGACGAACCATTTCATACTATAAATTCCTATATATTTTCACCTGAGAATAAAGAATGTAATCAGACTGATAACAAGTGACGTCACGGATAATCCAAGGCCAACCCAGGTAAGAATATCACTGATGATATCTCCATCCTGAAACGTATTGTCAACAAAAAGCTTTCAACAATATTATTACTCTTGGTATAGAAATATTTGATACATTTTCAAAAGCAACAATATTATAATAGACTTTATATCTTCAAGTCTAATCGTGATCACTCGTTTTTTTCTTCAAAATGTCATTTGGGGTAATCATCACCAAAAGCTATTGAGAAAAGGGCTTTTAGGAGAAGCACATTCTAGGAAAATGGGACATATTTCCAACCTTTGAATCATAGCTGCGTCTTTAGGGATCGTTCTAATCATTTTATTATCAAAGATATGAATATTCTCAAAATTAACTCGCCAATTTATAATTTAAACATTAAATGATAAAAATCATTAATTCATGTAACGCATATATTAACAGAAACTCTCTATAATTATCGTATTTTTAAGCTCACGAATTGTAGATAAATATTGCTAAATCTCAAACGTGTTTGTGAAATGATAAGCCGAAATATAATACATCATGGTTGTATCTTACCAGCTCACTCGGCAGCAAACTCACGAGAATGGCAAAGCTGGTCATGTGATCACAGTAGCATGACGTCATATTCAAGTTGTCTGTCGCGATTTCTCGACAGCCGGTGGAATTCCACGTTCTTTTCATAAAAAAAATAGCACACGAGACAGATAACTAGAACGAACATATTATTTTATTTGGTATGGATACATTATTAATTTGTTCTCTGTAACGGTTTATATGAATAAGTCAGAATCTATTCCGCTCCGATATTAGGAGCACATTACAAAATCTAGTTTTGGGGGTTGACGGAAGAACAAAATGCACGAGAGTGCCAGAGTAAACACATCGTTAGGAATTGATGTAATTCCTGCAAGTCCATACATGGCTATAGTTATTGTGTATTATTATTAGAGCAAAAATAACACTTTATTTCACTTTCTGAAACAGTATAATTCTTATTCCAGATTCATCTCATTAACAAATCGAGAATAATCATGTGTAAAGAGACAATATACGTTTTTGTCGTATTTCATTTTCATTTCAAATAAAAAAATAATGTGAGAAAACATGATTGTATTTGCCCTATTGGTAAAAAAAAAATTAAATTTCATTTGTGTCAACATATTTGGTTTATTGTTGTTTAACTTGTAAAAAAGAGTGAATACAGGTCATATTCTCAACATAATCACAAAAATCTTTGAGAATGTAAAAACATGATGAAGAAGAGAAAGAATTACGATTGATCAAATCTTATAATTACAATGCCATATTCCCTACATGATCTGGGGATTATATTGCTCTAGGAATCGTATTTTGTCCTCTGTCTGCATCAAACAGATCTCCACTTATAAAAGAATGACCAATGAGGAATGATAATTGTTTTAAGTTTGACAAAATCCATTTATCAATGTAACATGTACATATAGAAATCAAATGAAAGGCATTTTTTTTCGAAAATAATTTCTGATATCATGATATTATGGCTGTCAAAATAATACCTGGTCTTTATATCCCAGAAGCTGCATGTTGGTGAAAAGTATTTCTGACGTGATGAACAAACACTGCTATATACATCTCCTTAGAAATCTAGCCATCTGTTTGGTCGAAATTGCAGTCGTGATTATAGCCTTTCCCGTTAAGAGACGAACAGTGAGATATCCGCAAGAGTCCGGGTACCAGGAAAATAGTTATATTTTGCTGCGATCCCCATTGGTTTACGTGTTAAACCTAAGTTTGTGCGAGCGCGGCTACCATACAGTGCTTTTTCTCTGCGATTAATTCAGTCGCTACATTTTAGGTTTTTTAATTGCACATAGACGACCGCCGATCTCGATTGTAGGCATACATGTCATCTCCGATATTTTGGTTTCTAAAGCTGAAAGGAATAGATACCAACTCGTGACCCATGTATACAACTGCCGTTATGACATTACTTGCAACTCGAAGATTGACATCATTATTGTCGGTGGTGGCGTTGTTAGCTGTCTTGTTATTAAGGAGTTCAGCAAGACGTGCGGACGTAACAATTCCTAAAGTGACAGGCCGCTGGTCATTTCCATCTGCAGAGGGTAAAGAATCCATTTATAATCCAGTTTAGTTCACTGTAATCGTTAGCAAGGTTATTATATCTTCTTCCTAGAAATATTACAATAATATTAGGTATAGCACACCTAAAAATAGGTACAACAAACACATGTTATTTGATGATTGCAAATGATCAAGCTTCATGAAAGCTTCAAAAAACAAAAAACAGAATTGAAATCGGTCAATGCGTTGTGATTTTATACCATTTTTTTGATATCGCAAAATTACCCCAAAACCTGCCAGAAATGGTCAAATTGGCAAAAATGGCAAAATTCGACAAAGTTGACAACTTAATTCATCACTTTCTTGGACACAAATAATAAATTAAATTATCAGACACTAAAATATCATCTTTGTGGTAAAAAAAAAAGAAAAAGAAAATTCAGATATCTATTACCGTTTTGAAAACAGAAGCAAAAAAAAGAAGTAATTTTTGCCATTTTTGCCATTTTTGCAAATCTGCAGGTATGAAAAAGTTGTGAAAATAACTAAGTCCACATAATAAATATGCGCATATGAAATCAAATCAAAACCGAACATGATACATCAGTAAAACCTATGTAAATCAGACAGGTATGGAAATATATAAAATTATGAATATTCATCAAATATGCAAATTAGGTCATTTTAGCTAATTATATAATTTGTATAATATATAGGAAAGTAAAACTGTTCATTTTGTTGGCATTTTTAAATCATATATTTATAGATCATATTTACACCAACTATTAACATTAAAGTCCAAATATTTTTGCAATGCCAATAAAATATGGCGATGCAAATTACTTGGATCACCATTACAGCTATTTCCTCATATGTTTCACAAATTATTCAGAAAAACAAAAACAAAAAAACGATAAGAATTTGCAGACCTTCAGCTACATCACAGTATATGTTTCTTTTTAAAAAAATGTCAGATTTGAGGATTTATGACGATTTTTCGATAAACCATTCAGCAGGCAATAACATTCTACAGAGACTGAATTACAGGAAAAAACAAAATTTGGTGACCTCAGTTTAGTTGTGGCCAACTTGAGTTCAAACAACAAATTGATTTAATGAGTGAAACACATGAGTATATTGCATTATTGTAGGGGAGTTTTATACATTGAGGTGCATTTTCATCACGCAGAATAGCAGCGCCAGTCAATGGGCGATCAGCGGGCCATGTCATACATGGCTGAAAAGACAATATTCTAATTAATAATTTAACATATTTCTCACATGCCTATAACAGTGAAACTACACATAATTGTAGTCAAAGGTATGCTTGAAAGATATGTGAAAAACAAATTTGAAAAATATTGTTTAGTTTTGTTTAAAATAAATTTACGAAAATTGCTATTTCTACCAACTGACTGCTGTTGTGTGTGTTTGTGTGCATGGGGCAGGCTGTGTGCACAGGTATTGTGATCACCCTAATAATATTCGTTAGTTTTTAGGATTGCAACTGTTTTATATGGCCCATTTCAAATTGAAAAATAAGAGGAAACTGAACAGGGATAGGGAAAATACAAAATACTACAGAATGGTCATGTCGTCAACACAACAAATGATGATATTGAAAATGCGTTTATTTCAATTTTATCTTTTTTCATTGGTAGTTGAGAATGTGTGTGTGTATAGTAGTTTGATATTGAATGAACATTTGTTTCTTTCATTGATACTGCCTAAGGTGTATTGATGTAGGTGAGAATCTGGGGGTGTAGGGGTTTGATAGTATATGAGCATTCGTCTTTTCCCATTGATGCTGGACTTATCTGTTGTGGTGTGGTTGAGAAGGTTCCAGGTGGAGATTTAAATTTAATCTACATTTGCCACTCTCCAGCCAGGTGTTAAATGGGTACACAGGTATGAGCGCGTTTGGTAAAATGTCTGGGCGGAATAATCCCTATAGTAGGAGACCAGCCTGTAGGTCCCGTGACCAATCTCTGAGAACAAAGGTTTGAAAGTGTTTTTGTGTTCCCTGATGAATACCGAACAATTTTGACTTGGGCTAAAGTGTAATGACCTTTTTGACCATAGCGTCCTTTTTTAAGGTCGGAGGTATAACAAACTATACATTTTTGGAATCCTCATGACCAGACGAGTAATTTAATTTTGACCCCTGTTTGACCATTGTTGACCCCTCACGAAAATGCCCGGGATTTTCAAGGGGGCAGCCCAAGTCAAAATTGTTCTGTATTCATCAGGGAACACAAAAACACCTTCAAACTGTTGTTCCCAGAGATTGGTCATGGGACCTACAGGCTGGTCTCCTACTACTAGGGAGCGAAGCGTGAGCACTATCATGTGCGGATTAGCAACTCGAGTGACCGAGGTGATAATAATAACAGTGCAAATGGCTTGTAAACGTAGTAGTAAGCGGTATACAGATGTAACTATTAGTATATAACCATTCGTTGTTTTTTTAGTTTGATACTGAACTAGCATGTACAGGTGTGGATGGGTTGATAATAATATTGTTGGCCTTATGCCAAAAGGGCCTTAACTGCTTTTGGCCATTCCGAGATAATCGCGTTTGAAGTTTTGGCCTCTCTAATAATCAAAAGTTTGTGGTCGTTTTTTTTTCTTTTCTGAAGTCAATTTCGATAAAGATATTAATTTATTAAGTTTTACATGAAATGTGTTAAATTTGTTTTAAAATTATACAGAAAATTTCATGCTATGTGCAAAAAACGTGTTAGGGGCTTTTTGGCATATGGCTTGAGAGTAGCGTAGTTATGCCAGAAGGGCCGTAACCTACGCGGCATTATGCCAAAAGGGCCGTAACCTCCGGCGTAACCCATGCGGCGTTCTGCCAAAAGGGTCGTAACCTGCGGTTATCGTTAGCGCCCTTCTGGCATAAAGACATTTTCTTGTTTCGCAACACCTTTGGTTTGCCAGAGAGTCCCTGCTATGGCTACTGGATCACGAGAACTGATAAAACTGATTAATTACAATTTTAGAAAAGGTATTTTTGATATCTGAATATTTTCATTAATATAATGCAGCTTTCGGTGAAGTTATTATTTAGAGATCGTACATTTAGGACACCTTTTTCGTTGTTTATTTTCATTACAGTCCCATCCGTTGACACCTGCGTATTTCATGAATCAGTTGCATTTCATGCATCCACATCTTACTTAAATCTCACTAAGAATTCATGATCTAAATTCATGACATATACGTTCAGTGATTATTCTAAGTACATTGTGTCTATTGTAGACTAATCATGTTTTTAATGGTGTTTCTACTGATATTTTTTTTATTGAATTATATGGAAATTACGAAATAATCTGTCATTGATAACAAATTTGCCGTGTAGGTTAAGGCCCTTTTGGCTTCAGGAAAAAGATGAGATACGCGTTAAGGGCCTTTTGAGTGAAACGAGTGAAACACATCATTTTAAAGAGAATGATGAAATCTAAAAGGTGATGTTAATAACTCAATAACCCCAAAAATCGGGTTAAGGCCCTTTTGGCACTAAGCCGACGTTGCGTGAGTGAGAATGAGAATGTGCGCGGTTTCGATAATTGAATAGTGACATAAATTGAATGATTGCAGGCATATTTTTTTTTAAATCCATGACTTCATAACCTCTTACCTTTGGATTGGTCATTCCTTTCACAGAAATAGTTTACGGGGAAAGAGAACCGATCTCCGTTCAGGCTGGTGTCCGTCCATTCAGTAGCACACAAATCTTCGAGTACAGATCGGTATACATAGATATCTAGCGTGAAAGTGTTTCCAGGGAGAAGGAAAAGATAGAATGTGGAGAGAGCGATAAGTGGTTGAATAGGGGGAAAAGTATTAGAAAGAGGAAACATTGTTATGGGAACGGAGAACAGAATGAATACAGATAACAAGTGACACAATAACACAAAATGTGTAGTTCCTCATCAAAATATGACATATAACGAAGAAAACATATTAAAAGAATGGAAACTCATGAGGAATGTAGAGAAGCTGATTGACATACTTTTTAAGAATTGATCTCTTTCAAATTTACCGATTCTATCACTTTTGTATCAAGTAAAAAAAAACTGTAAAAATCCATAAATATCCCATTTATGATAATAATCGCAGTTCAGATTGAGATAGAGATTTCTTTTACAGTTTCAATTGAAAGTGTGTATCATCAACAACAGACAAATCATCCTTGTTTTCACGAAGTGACGGTAGTGAAGAAAATCGTCACGCAAAGTGAATGCAATTTTTTTCACTACCGTCACTTCGTGAAAACAAGGATGATTTGTCTAACACAAAATGTGTAGTTCCTCATCAAAATATGACATATAACGAAGAAAACATATTAAAAGAATGGAAACTCATGAGGAATGTAGAGAAGCTGATTGACATACTTTTTAAGAATTGATCTCTTTCAAATTTACCGATTCTATCACTTTTGTATCAAGTAAAAAAAAACTGTAAAAATCCATAAATATCCCATTTATGATAATAATCGCAGTTCAGATTGAGATAGAGATTTCTTTTACAGTTTCAATTGAAAGTGTGTATCATCAACAACAGACAAATCATCCTTGTTTTCACGAAGTGACGGTAGTGAAGAAAATCGTCACGCAAAGTGAATGCAATTTTTTTCACTACCGTCACTTCGTGAAAACAGCGACGTTAATATACATTTCAAATAAGAATGATTTTTCACGTAAATCTCAGTGAATAAAAATCGAACATTTATTGATTTTAGAATAATTTTATGGCCTTCACTTTAATTCATATGTTGACATGCTTAAAACGCAGACTAATTTATTACAGTCAACTTCAGAGCTTGCAAACAAAAATTAAGAAGCAAAAACAGATTATTATGAGAAATGCTTTTAAATGCGCTTTCTTGATTAATAACATTTAGAATTACCAGGGCCCCGACTTATTGGAGTTGCGATTGATCCAAATCAATCGCAAGTCCTCTCATCAATCACAAATTTAGAGTTCCTTTTCTCTTTTGTGCATTTGCGATTGATATCAATCCTAAATAAGTTGTGCTTGATACCAGCTCTTTCTAAGACAGGGCCAATGTCTTACAGAAACATGCACTCACGTGAAAACTATTTAGCTCAGCGTATATTACTGTGAAAATTCATATGAAAGTTAGAAGATATCATATACCTCTCTTTAGAATGTAATAATTGGAGTCGTGATTTTAACCTAGCCCGCCTACCGGTCAATACTTTTTTGTTTTAAAGATGCCAGTTTCCCCGGGTAACGGGACGCATAAATCAATTTTGCTGAGATCCCCATTGGTTCACGTGTAAAAAGGTTCTTAGTGTGGGCGCAGATACCTTACAGTGCTTTTTGTATGCGATTCCCGAATGATCGCTACATTCAGGCAACCTCCAGTGTAGATTTACAGTGTCTCAGATTTGCTGTGATATTTTAACCAGTATTTACTCAAGAAAAAGATAAAGTAAGAATCTTCGAAGATTTGTTTGTGAATTCGGTATATCTGTTTCTATACTGGCTCTCGGGGATGTTACATCCTGTTAACCCCAAGGCGCGTCGTGGCCGGCGACGCGCCGAGGGGTCATAGCAGGAGCCTATAGAAACAGCGATGCCTCTCACAGCAGTCGATTTATATATATATATATATATATATATATATACTAATAAATCATGACTTCCAAAGTTTCATTTAAAATGACGCGTTTTGATATTTTCGCAATTAAAATCTCGTAGCATTTTCATTCTTTGAGGCACCCTGCATGTTAATAACACTTACCAAGATTATTGGAAAATTCCAAGCTCATGATTTTAAATTTCCTGTTTTCTTTATCTTTAGGCAAACAAAATACAATGCAAATCAACTTACTATTGACTTCTATTGATTGTCCTGTACTTAGATTCATTCCAATATCGAAGACCTTCTGCTCTATGATGTCAGGGTTCAGAAGAAGCTGAAGTTCCTCCTATATAAAACAGATGGACGTCATTATTTTGAAACAAAAATACATTGTTTCAGTTGCTATATCCGACACATCACTCTAAAATGCGGTATATAAGAGATCATTTGAAAAAGTTGAAAACTAATCATGTTGTGATAAATTTACGGATGTTTTAGTTCAATGCAATTGTGAGGCGGTTCCCGGCTTCCCTCTTGGTCAAGTACCTTCTGCTTTTCCTTTTACGAGATCCCTCAAGAGTCTGATGTGTTTTAATATAACCAAAATATTTTGCCTTTATTTCTATTATGATTCCTATATATATATATATATATAGCCTTCATGATTGTTGAAAGTGGGATTGGGTATGTATCTTAGCAAAGTCACCACGCTCAACTTGATTTCGCATGTAATATGGTAAACCCGCTATGTTCTCCATCTTCTTATGATCTATTTTCTTATTGTGAAGTGCCAGGGAGGTCAAGTATAGCAGACATGAGCGCTATACTATAACCCACTATTATCATTGTGGTTGTTATTAATATAATCATTACTGTTATCATAATATCTGAGATTCGTCTAGCTGACCATTCTTGGTTACATAATGTGCAGGAAAGTCATGATACTATCAAGAATTAGCTGGCTATGAACTCTTTACATGCTACACAAAGTAGTGATATCTCTGTGCCACAATGTATTTATCATGGGATTGATATACCACACGCTTCATGGTTATTAGGATTAAATATTTCAAGTGCAAGATATACTCTATACAGGTAGTAAAAAGCTTATCATGGAGGTAAACTGGAAAGGGAAATGGGTAATTTTGCAAAGCCATCGGGTTGCAAAAAGCAATCCTTCATTCCATATGTTTCTCATGCTGTGTGAATAATACAAACAATAAAAAGGCACCACAATTTATGATCGCCGTTGAAGAATAAGTGAAAAAATTGTTTTTTTTTCTTTCTTGAAAATATCATTGTACCTGAAACGAGAATGCAGAGCTTTGATAACAAATGCATGCTTTGACACATCCCCGCCATAGATGAACACGTAATAACAAGGATTTTATGATTGATTCAACTTCTCTATAGTATTTCCTTGGAATTGATTAAAATGTGACCTACATGAAATTAAAGCAGACAAATTAAGGCTCCAAAAGCGGAAGAGACCCTGCATTAATTACAGGGACTATGCATGCTTTGACCAAAAAATAAAGAAAAAGGAGGAGGGGGGGGGGGGGGGTGGCAGGCCAAATGCTTTTGTACATGCGAAAACGTTTGCCGTTATTATTTGTGACGGGATGTAGCCTCCGTATGTACTACGTGCTAAAAATCGCTTCCTGATCATGTACCACTCTGCTCTTGTGCTCTCGAGTATAGGGACTCACGACTCATGCATAGAAGCCGTGGCCCTTTAGAGATGTTACCTCAGTCTGAGCATTCAGACCAGGTGTAGACAATGTAGATGTATGCGTTGATACTGCAGTGATATCTGACAGTGAACTTACTGATGCGGTCAAGGTGTGGTCGGATGGAGGCAAAGATGAGGAGGGGAAGGATGGAGAAGTCGTTTCCAACGGTACACTTGTGGTGGGTTTAGTGGTTGGTGAGTCTTTTGACTTCTCGCATATAACTGGCACTAGGGTAGATCCAACTGGTGGGTATGTGAGTATAGCCGCTGTTATGCTGATTCCAAAGTGAGAGCAATTGGGTGGACCATTGTAGACACCACGAACAAAATATCCGTTGAAGTCTGCATTGAACAAAGAACCTCCTGTATATATCAAAATAAACCCCGAAACATTAAAGACCACCAATAAATCATATGAAGACAGAAGTTGTCGTCAATAATGCTTATTTCCTTTGGTTCAAACTGATTTGACTTTGCTTTGAGTAGAGTTTTGTCACGGAGGATTATGGTCCTAGCTTCTCTTCCTATGTATTATTTATAGCGCCACCTTGTGTTAATAAAACGTGCAGAGATATGACTCCCAAACCTGGACCATTGTGTTATCTTTGTTGTGTCCAAATTGTTCTAATGATGTACAGACACGACAATTGGCGACGAGGATAAAGATAACCGTGAACTATAAGCTGAAAAGTGTAAGTCATTAATGAAAAAATGATGACAGTGTTCCTATAGACTGCAGATAGAAGTAAAAGTCGGCAGTCTTGAGGTGATGTGAACTGTTTAGCCCACATATTGAACATGGTGTCAGCTATAGTATAGTGACTGTGAACGTACACGTCGCATCGTAAAAATGGCGTCAACAACGGGTAGAGCTGAAAGTTACAATCCAGACATTGAGCAATATGAATCATACAGAGAAAGAATGGATTATTACTTCGTGGCTAATGACATAAGTGATGAAAGGAAGAAAGTGGCTGTAATTTTGTCAGTAATGGGAGCAAAAGAGTATAGACTGCTAAAGACTAAAAGAGTGTGGTAGCTCCACAGAAGGTTTCTGAGCTGACATTGAAAGAGGTCGATGAGGCGCTGAAGGAGCATTACAACCCTAAACCACCAGTCATGCTAGAGAGATACAAGTTCTATCAGAGGAATCAGAGGGCTGATGAGAATATCGCTACATACTACGCCGAGTTGAAGAAAATGGCGGAAACATGCGATTTTAGCACCTTCAGAAAGGAAGCACTTCGAGACAGATTCGTGTGCGGGTTAGCAGAGGAGAGCGTTGAGAGGCGTCTTATGTCCGAAGATGACATCACTATCGAGAAAGCGGTGAAGCTGGCTACAAGCATGGAAGCTGCCAGTAAGGGTACCGCAGCATTGAAAACACTTGAACAGAAAAGTTCTACAAGTACAACTGTTAATTATGGAGAAATAGAATGCTATTGTTGTGGAAAAAAAGGACACACCAAGAAACAGTGTCGGTATAGGGAACTGTCATGTGACAACTGCCACCGTAAAGGACATCTAAAACAGGTGTGCAAGAACAGTAAGAAGGGTAGCTCTAGATCACAAAATAACCCAAAGAGTACAGGTAGTACTAGTAAGTGGAAGGGACAAGAACATAAGTATAAGACTAAAAGAAAGTCTAGGTTAGGCGTAAGTCATTTTGAAGGTGACCAGTCAGAGTCGGGTAGTGTTGAATGTTCAGAGTCAAACACAGATGATGATGATGATAATGTGTATTACATTGGAGTACATAAAGTATGGAAAGGTGTGAAGCCTATCATGGTTGATGTAGAAATAGAAGATACTACATTGTCGATGGAAGTTGATACGGGCTGTGGAGTCTCGATTGTTAGTCAATCTGTGTATGAAAAGAACTTCAAACAGAAGGTAAAGGTAGACAAATGTGATATAAAGCTCAAGACCTTCACACGACAGACGATACCTGTAATGTAATGTAGAGGTGTCGTGGACGAGTGGATATGTCACCGGACTGTGGATCACAAGGTTCGCGGTTCAAGTCCCACCGTGGCACTAATGTCCTTTGGCAAGACATTGATCTACATTTGCCACTCTCCACCCAGGTGTTAAATGGGTACCCGGTAGGATGCGAAAGCTAATGTGGTTAGATTAGCAAGTGTGCGCTCGTAAAAAAGACGCCTGGCTGGAATGCTCCCCAGGGAGTGGAGAATGTGCATACATTGTGTGCGGGTAAGCCTGAATCCTATGACCGGGGTAATAATATATATATATCTGTAAAGCGCTTTGAGAGGGCCTTCGGTCTTGAAAAGCGCTATATAAGAACTAGCTATTATTATTATTATTATTATGGGCAAATGTATGGTGAATGTGAATTACCATGGTAAAAAAGAAAGGTTACCTTTAATCATTGTGAAGAATGAGGGTCCTACTTTACTGGGTAGAGATTGGTTGTGGGAAATTCCCCTACGATGGAAAGAAATATTTGAGGTACACCATGTGACACCTAGTGGTACACCACAAGATAAAGAAGGCAATAGCAGATAGTGAGGTCTTTGATAGCAGTGTAGGAAGAATAAAAGGGCAGGCCAAACTGAAAGTGAAAAGTGATGCGGAACCAAGGTTCTTCAAGCCCAGACCTATTCCCTTCGCGATAAAAGACAAAGTGGCAGAAGAGATTGATAGGTTAGTGAAAAAAGGGGTACTAGAGCCTGTAGAGTTTTCCGATTGGGCTGCTCCTGTAGTACCGGTACAGAAACCAGATGGTAAGATAAGGTTGTGTGGAGACTATAAAATTACAGTCAATCCACAGTTAGAAGTGAAAGAGTATCCAATGCCAAGACCTGAAGAGTTGTTTGCTAGCCTACAAGGGGGAAAGAAGTTCACAAAACTTGACTTGAAGAATGCATATCAACAAGTAGACTTAGAAGAGAAATCTAGACAATATGTCACAATTAACACACATCTAGGTTTATACAGGTATACACGGTTACCGTTTGGGGTGAGTTCAGCTCCTGCCATATTCCAGGAATGCATGGACAAGATTCTCCATGGTCTTAAGGGAGTAGGATGTTATTTGGATAACATCATAGTCACAGGTTCAAGTGACAAGGAACATGCATCCAACTTAGAGAGTGTGTTGAAGAGGTTGAGTCAGTTTGGACTACGGTTGAAGAGATCCAAGTGTGCATTCATGCAGGATTCGGTGGAGTATTTAGGTCATGTGGTAGATGCAGGAGGGTTGCATCCTTCACCATCGCGCGTTGAAGCCATTGCGTCGGCAAGCCCACCCAAAGATGCGTCAGAGGTACAGTCTTTTACTGGGCTAATCAATTACTATCGGAAATTTATTCCGAATCTGGCATCCATCTTGAAACCTATTGATGGGTTAAAGAAGAAGCAGGTGTTCGAGTGGACTACTGAATGTCAGAAGGTCTTTGACTTGGTGAAGAAGATACTGAGCTCCAGCAAGATACTGGTCTATTTCGATCCAAGCAAAGAGGTGACATTGGCGGTGGACGCATCACCATATGGGATAGGTGCGGTCATTTCCCATGTGACAGAAGAGGGGGACAAACCGATTGCGTATGCGTCTAGGAAGTTGACAAAGGCAGAAATGAACTACTCTCAGTTGGAGAAGGAAGCTCTAGCTATTGTGTATGGTGTGAGGTATTTTCATCAGTATCTTTGTGGTAGGAAGTTTATGCTTCTTACGGACCACAAACCATTGACATTTCTACTTGGACCCAAGAAGGGGATTCCGGTCCTAGCGGACTCAAGGCTGCAACGCTGGGCAATTTTGCTTTCAGGATACGTGTATGATATAAAATATCGGACATCCCAGCAGAATGCCAATGCAGATTTCCTATCACGTCTGCCTGGTTCAGGAAAGGTGGAGAGCGAGGAGGATGAGTTTGTAGTGAAGTGGACTGAAGAAGCTACACAGATGAATGAGACACAGTTGAAGTCACTGCCGGTGACAGCTGATAGAGTGCGGAGAGCTACGGACACTGATAGGGTGTTGCCAAAGGTTAGATTCTTTGTTCAGAATGGATGGCCTTGCAGGGACGAGATCTCACCAGAGTTGCAGGTTTGGCTGAGGAAGAAAGATGAGATGACAGTAGAAAGTGGTTGCTTGCTTTGGGGAATTCGTGTGATCATTCCAGATGGTTTGCAGCAACATATTTTGGAAGAGCTCCATAGAGGCCATCAGGGGATGGTGAGGATGAAGAGTCTTGCCAGAATGCATGTCTATTGGCCAGGTCTAGATCAGGATATTGAACGCTTAGTACAGGCTTGTTCATCTTGCCAAACCATGCAGACCTTACCACCAGCAGCACCGGTGAATCCGTGGGCATGGCCAGCCATGGCATAGAGTGCATGTTGATTTCGCTGGACCATTTCTGGACCAGATGTTTTTGCTAGTCGTAGACGCTCACAGTAAATGGCCAGAGGTCATTCCCATGAGGTCTACAACAGCAGCAAATACCATTCGGGTGTTGAGGTGTTTGTTTTCGAGATATGGCCTTCCCCATGAAGTGGTATCTGATAATGGACCACAATTTGTTGCAGAGGATTTTGCTGTGTTTTTGAAGAAGAATGGCATCAAGCACATCAAGTCAGCAGTGAAGCACCCAGCTTCGAACGGCGAAGTTGAACGTTTTGTTCAGACCTTTAAGAAGGCTATGAAGAAAGCCAAACCGGATGGGGGTGATGTACATCTGAAGTTAGCTAGGTTCTTGTTGTCATACAGGACCACTCCTCATGTGGTGATCCAAGAAACACCGTCAAAGATGTTCATGGGACGAGACTTGAGGACACGGCTGAGTCAAGTGAGACCTGATTTAGGCTTGAAACTACAGCAGAAGCGAGCTCTGAAAAAAGATAGAGTGAGAAGCTTTGAGGTTGGTGAACGAGTGAGAGTGTTAGATTTTCGGATTCATTCTGAAAGATGGTCAGAAGGTATGGTGACCAGAGTCCTTGGTCCTGTGACTTATCAAGTAGTGGTAGATGGTATTCGGTGGAAGAGGCATGTCGACCAGATAAGAAGGATGTCGCAGTGTGTAGATTCAAGGGCAGAGCCACTCAGACAAACGGTACCGAACACAGACATATACAATGACAGAGACACCATCACAAGAGCCTTGACAGACGAAGACATACCAAACACACACACACATCTCATTCACCTAAGAAAATACCTCAGACCCAAGACAAAAGTTACACAGAACAACAGCAACACACAGAGCAAAACCTCCGTCGTTCAAAACGTCACATCAGTAAACCAGATAGGTTGGATTTGTAAAAAAACAAAACACACAATGTGTAACAGTTTTTGTTGCATGTCATAATGTTATTGATAAGATGAGATCAGAGTAATATGTGGGGATATGAGGATTATGATCAATACTGTTTGGTAATTTGTACAAATTGTACATTAAAAAAGAAAAGAAATGCATCTGTGATGCATAGTTTGACGTTTTAAGATGAAAAGTAATTTTTGTTGTTATGAAACCATCTATGTTTTTTATAGTACGGAGTCAGAATAAGTATTTTACGTAGTCAGATCAAAGCCTAAGAGGTGAATGTTCAGTACACAGTGTTTATACATTTTCACAGTGAAGGAACCAAGCATTAAGTTTAAAAGAAGAAGAAAAAAAAAGAAGCAACAACAGCAACAAAAAAAAAAATAATAATAATTTTGTGACGAAATTCAAACCGCCTCTTTATTTGTTGTTATTGATCGATACCGGATAACAATATATCTATGCAAACTGGCAAATATATGTATACTGGAATATCACATGTGATGATATTAGTTGTTACAAAAAAAAAATTGAAATTTTGTGCGGAAGGAGAGGAGATGTGGTATAGCGCCACCTTGTGTTAATAAAACTTGCAGAGATATGACTCCCAAAACCTGGACCATTGTGTTACCTTTGTTGTGTCCAAAGTGTTCTAATGATGTACAGACACGACATTATTGACCATGAATTTGAATTAACTCGATGAATCAAAATATGTCAAACCCCATTTCTTTCCCCTCAAACATCCTACGAAACTATAGGCCTTTTCAAATGGTTGTGGTTGAACAAAAACGCAGACCAGGTAGATGAAGTCGACAAATGTCAAGAAACGTAAAGCCACAATGAAAGATATTATGATCAAATCTTATAAAATCATTATAGATAAAGATCAGGATGATGATTATCACAGTAATAACAGTATAGTTAATGATAGTAGTAGTATCAGTAGCAGTAGTAGTAGTAGTAGTAGTAGCAGTAGTAGTAGTAGTAGTAGTAGTAGTAGAAGGAGTAGTAGTAATTATAACATTACATATATATATATATATATATATAATAATAATAATAAATAATAATAATAATCATAATAATAATAATAATGATCATGATAAATATTACAACAATAAGAGTAATGACATCAACGGTAATGTTAGAACAAGCAGGCGTAAGTATAATGCTATTGATTAGTTTGCAATTATAAGCCTACTTGCTACATTCAAATCAGGCAAAAATACTAAAATTTTATTTCAATTTATATAGGAAGGGTAGCATTCATACGCAACAAATAATAATAATAATAATAATACAAACGTTACTTATAAAGCGCTTGCCACCGAAGTCTCTTAGCGCTTTAACAAACAAAAAAGACTGATAAACACTTACATATTTAAAAAAAAAAGTGCAAATAAACCTACAATACATATGGAATACACATCAAAGTGAACAGAGTTAGTTAATCTTCGAATGCAATTTTGAATATATGTATCTTAAGACTAGTTTTGAACTGCTTCACAGTTTGACATTTTTTTTTACATTTAAAGGTAGTTTGTTCCAAAGTTCAGCAGAAGTTTTGCAAAAAAGAGCGTTTACCATAAGAAAGAGCTGACACAGAAGTAGACATGAGGTTTAATTGTGAAGATGACCTTGACAAATTGCGTGACGGTTTGTATTCCTGGATTAGTTCTTGCAGATAAATTGGTGCCAATTCGTGAATGCATTTATAAGTTAAAAACAAGATTTTGTACATAATACGGTACGTCACCGGCAGCCGATGCAATTTGTGAAGTACTGGAGTGATGTGTCCACAAGAACGTGTGCGTGTTACAAGCCTGGCAACGGAGTTATTGGTTCTCTGGAGTTTTGCAATGTGTGAGTCCGAAAGGCAATAAAGAAGGCTATTGCATTCATCAAGGCGGCATGTAATACATATATGCGTGTATAAACGTTTCGGTAGATTGTTGATCAAGAACATTTCTAATACGACCTTTTTTGTACAAGGGCAAGACATATTAAGCTGAGCGACAAATATTTTTTTTTATATAATCATCCATCCTAAGATCATTTTCAAAGATGACACCAAGGTTACGTGCACTTTTGACAGGTTTTATCGGAACTTTAGCAATTTCGACAGATGGTAAATGGGATAACTTTCTGAATCGAGATGTTACGTGTATAACCTCAGTTTGTTATCCTCATTTAACTTCAAATCATTAGCAGTGGACCAAGCTTTGATATCATTTATACATCTTTCAAGTTTGGTAATGACAGAATGGTCGGAATCACGTTTCAAAACAACATAAACTTGGGTGTCATCTGCATATATGTATCATTCGGCCTAAGCCAATGCGCTTCAATAATATCTTCGCGTTCGTTAGCCTTAAAAGGCTAATGTCATTCCCATTCCAAAAGGCATTACATCAACAAACCCATGCACTTATCTTTATGAATAGATACATCACATGCGTATTCTACAGACACGACTGCGTCGATAATAACTATTCCAACGTCCACCAATATAGCTTCGCCTAGGTTTAACCACCGAGAGGAATTGAGGTAAGTAGTTAATAAGATTGGCTAGGCAATCAAGAAGGTGTCACATTAAATAACCCATGCACTTATTCGTTTACAAATGGATTACCTGTGTATTGTACAGACACGACTGCATCGATATAGATGAGATTATACTTATAGGCATCTTTACCGGGTACAGCCCCCATGCAGTATCGGGTAGAGTAGCTAGCTAGTAAGATATAGGCCAGACTCCCACAGGTATAGGAGTCCCCACAATTAACAATGCTGTTAGCTGCCTCCGTGGCATCCACAGTCGCTGTAGTCTCTCCATACCCGTCAAATGAGTTGACCGTCACGTTAGCATGGGTAACATGGGTGGTGTCCAGTGAGCCCTCTGGACACGCAGGGAATGTTGGATTACATGGATTGTATGCGGTATCTTAGTAGGGAATCAAACATAATGAAATAGTACGTGCCTATATAGTATACATTCCCATTGTATAATGTGCTTTTACGAAAGAAAGAAAAAAAAAGAAGAGGAAAAACCGTAGAATAGTAAGTATGCGAAAGGTACAATCCTTTATAACAAAAGAGTAAATGCAGCAAATGCATCCCTGACAAACAATTAAGGCAGATAAAACGGTTTACTCTTCCATTGTCACCGTATTAGGTCATAAAAGTTCACGGATGCGTCACCATAAACAGGGTATCTTCACTTCAATAAAGGAGTTCATTTCCTAAATACCCATCGGCAGGGGCATTTCAGTTTTCATGGGGGAGAGTCATGGAAACATTGAGGGTTTTATACATGCATATCCCCCGTCACTCCACTGTCTGCTTCTGTGAATGGTTGATGATATTAAGTATTGCTTCCCCCTCAACATATTTGACTCATTCACGCTCTGAGCATTACTAAGGTCTAACCATCACTGTCCGAAAGACCGTAAACTTAGACCTTTTGACCTTTTGGTGTCTTATCTCGTACACGCTTTCCCTCAAAATTCATTCATATTAAAATATAGAAGCCATCTTACCTAGGCTTGTTCGGAAACACAGCTGTCCACTTATGCCAGGTAAGAGCTGAATCCGTAATTATACCAAAGTATGAAATATGAGAGGAAAACAAATCCTGGTTAAAACAAAATATAGAATTAAATATCTGAACATTTTCGGGAGCACAATTACCTAATCTAAAAGATATGAACAGTGTGTACATCTTTGAAGATAAATGTTAGTTGAATTGAATATGAGTCACAACACTCCAGTATTTGTCATTTATCATAAAACTTTTTATCCGCTGTGACGACTTCGAAAGAGACTACAATTAGAATATTTGTATTTTCTCCAAGTTTCACGGGCAATCATTAAAAATCATCATCAATTATCACTGTCAACCTTATGCTACGGTCACAGAGGCTCGTACGAACGATAATTTCGTAAGAAGCTCCCTGTTTTTCTATTGTCTTCCCGAATTTTCATTGTCTGAAAATCGTTCGTGCGGCGTTCGTAGCAGTTCGTAATGGCATTTGTGACCGAGGCTTAACCTCACTATAATATCAACAAAAGAAAAAAAGGGGTTAAAAATTCACCTCGCCCAGCTTCGAACCCGGAAGTTTTGAGTATAAACGCAGCGTTCTTACCCATCGCGCCCAAAAAAATCGAGCAATATTGTATATTTACGAAAAGCTTGAATATTGTATATAATTTAACTCCCTACAACCAGGGGCGTCCCTAAATGGAGTGTGGGGGTGCGACACCCCCGCCTGTCAGGATATTGTCGGTAAAATTGCGCTGCTGTCGGGGAAAATGAGAAAAGGGGAAAGGGGAAAAGGAGAGGGAAAGGGAAATAAAAGAAAAGGAAAAGAAAGGAAAGAGAAGAGGAGAAAGAAAGAGAAAAAGAGGAAGGAGAGGAAAGAAAGGAAAAGAAAGAAAAGGGAGAAAAGGAGCAAAAGAAAAAGAAAAGAAAAAGAAAACAAAAGAAACAGGGGATGGAAGAGAGAGAGAGAGAGGGGGGGGGGGGTAAGCGCCTGAGAGAAGAGGGGTGAGTAAGAGAGAGGAGTCGCCACGTCGAGGGAGCAAGAAAGACACACATAGATAATTTTTTTGCTGTGTCGGGTCCGCTGTCTCGGTATTCTTGCTTGATCCTCATATACCATATTAATGCAGAAATTTGCAGTCGGTGAAATGTATTATGTCGGTCACCCGGCAACTTTTTTCCCTACGAAGTGTGACTTTTTATCGGATAAAGAAACATTCTTGAAAATTCAGACAATGATTAAGAGTCGGTACAACGTATCGTCTTCTTTGTCTAATACATAAATTAAACGTCAAAGCTTCCGCGCTTCGCGAGGAGAAGGGGGGGGGACTGGAAAATAATTTAGCTCCTGTACCCGGATTTATAGGGTTAAATTTGTACGCATTGGGACATTGGCATTAATAATATATGTCGGTAATTGGTGGCTATTTTTGTAGGTATTCGGTGGCCTCCCCTACCCCCACTGAAAACGATCTAGCGACGCCCCTGCCTACAACCCCCTTCTTGTCGCTTCCTTCCTTTGCTGAAGGTAAGGGACATGTATTATATCAACCCCTTGATGGCAACACTGCTACACCCCAACCGCACCTTCCGTGAAACACAAACAGGCTACGCTATCTATTAACTATTTGGACGAGAATTGGCGGTAATATGTACTTGTACCACGGAAATACTGCAGGGAGGGTAGGCCGAATGGTCGGACTGATGGGGGGGGGGGGGGGGGGACGCCTTCTTCTTCTTCTTTCAAAAATGTTTTCAATAAATGGTTTCTACAAATATTTGGGGCCATGTGCCCCCCACCCCTCCCGCCTACGCGACAGCCGTTGGGTGTCCCCTGTCCATTTTCGCTCTCTTATTAACATTTTGTTTATTGCTTATTTCATTTTCATTCGTTATGAATAGCAACCCTTAACCCTTATTATGAAGAGCGAACCTCATTCCGCGTTTTGAATAGCGACCATCATTCCGTTTTATTAATAGCAAACCTCTACTCCTATTATGAACAGCGACCCTTTTCTCGTACTATGAATAGTGACACTCGTCTCGTATCATGAACAGCGAACCTCTACTCCTATTATGAATAGCAAATCCCTGCTCCTATTATGAATAGCG